AAATTCTATTCTGTTGTTGTTTTGTTCTTTATGCTGCTTTGGAACACCTGATGTCAGTCTTACTGTTTCCCACATAAGTTATTATTATTATTATTATTTTCCTAGAGGGTCTGGATTCCTTATTTTTAGTCTGTTTAGTTCTTTTGTTTTTTAATCTGTTTGTTAGAATGTGTCTCAGACTAGATCATCACAAACCAATTTTCTCATGTGTCCAATTGTCCCTTTTAGTATTTAAATTTCCAGAAGGTGTTCTTTGATTATAATTTTAAATATTTATTATTTTGTACTATCTTGGTTTTCTTTGTAGGGGTTCCAATTATATGTATGTTGGTTTTTCTCTGACTGTGTTCTATTTCAATCACTTTTTAATAGCCATCTTTAATTTTTTTATTTGGTAATTTTCTTGACTTTTCTTTGACCTTTACAAATTTTTATTTGACTCAGTTCATCCTTTGGTGTTCTTAATTTAATCTTCTCCCATTTCTCATGATTTTTTTAAATCTTTTCCCCCATAGTTAATCAACTCATTTCATTTCTTTATATGTGTGTATATAACTGTTGTTATTTCTGATCTTAGTTTTTGAATTTCTGAATTTGAGTACAAATGCTCATTTAGTGATATTTAATTCAGTATTATAATTTTTTATGCTTTGTGATTTTTGTTGGCATGGGGGATTGTTATCCTGAAACAATCCTGGGGGATTGTTATTGTTACCTGAAATGTTTAACTCTCATTTTCTATTTTCTTCTGAGTAGGTTAATGTTGACAAAGGTGATATCTTTGCATCTGTGAATATTTTTGCTATTTCAGTAGTTTATAAAATTTCTAGTGCATGAGCAGCCTTTTCTGTCAGTGAAGAAAAATGCATTATATTTGATGAATTTTATTTATTTATTTATTTTGATGTTCTGGAGGAAAGACTTGTGTGTGTGTGTTATATAAAATCTTAATTTTCCCACTCTTACTTTTTCCCCTGACCACCACTTTCCAAAGGGAAACTGCCTCTACCTTTTTTTTTTTTTTTACTATCTTCTATCCTTAAAGCATTGCCTTTCCAATGCTGCCTCCTTGCGTTCCTGTGCTCACATTAAGTCCCCACCATGTAGTCTGTGTTCTAATCTGTCAGAATTCTTCATTATTATTTTTGTACTTGGTTCAAATGCTTTCTCACTTCCATGCAATACTGAATTTCCTAGTTCTGTAAAAGGATTTTCTATGGGAGCTCCAGAGCGGGCCGTAGTGGAAATTGTTTTTATTCTTCTTCCTAGAGATTTGAAGTTTAAGGCATTCCCTGTCTTCTTGTTTTGCTGAAGACATGGGACATTTATGGTCTAATTTGGTGTTAATGTTGATCTATATAGATTTTTTTGAGACTGTGTGGAGAGAGAAAGTTTAGGCAATTGTTGGTACTTCTGTTCACTACGACCTTAAAAATCTACTTCTTGAGAAATATTAATAGTTTTCGTATACTTTTGAGTACAAAAATCTAGTACTGGACATTTTCTTGAATCAGAAAAGGATTGTTGCATATGACATGGCATTTGACCTTTTAAAATGACTAAATTTTGCTAATAAGGGACTTCAGAATCTTCCTCTTTTAGACAACAGCAGAAACTTCTGCAGTAGTTCTACTATTTTTCATGTAAATTTTGAATTTCAGATTGTTATTACACCTATGTGTGTGATATCTACAAAGCTAGGTTAAAGTTACTATATAATACCTTTTAGTGCTTTAATGAAATATTGAATTATTGTTACTTGACCTTTTGAAAAGGTCAGCAGTACATTTGTTTCATTTTTTTTAAAGGACATTTAAATGTAATGAAAGTCAGAAACTGTAATATTACCATGAAAGTAAAGGTTATGGGGTACATTTAATTGTGTTCCTCTATTTTTGAAACTGCTTTGAGATAGACTGTGCTAAAATTCCACGTGATAATTGTTTTTCAAGAATTTTATTACTCTTTTTCATTTTATACTGTTAGAGCAAAAGATTATATTTCTGTTTGTCTTTTTATGCTTACCTTTGCTCAAATTTCATGTGTATTATCCTCTTTAAGGTACAAAGTTTAAACTGCTTACCCATTCAGTTTTCCAGGAAAGTAAAATTAAACATATTTCTCAGAGAATAGTTCTTTTCCTTGGAAAAATGCTTGAATAAAATTTGGTATATATAAATATATTGTTGTTGTTAACTACAAACCAAAAAGAGGGAAAAAAAAACTATATTGTTACAGAACTTCTAGATGGTAGGGAAGTCAAGACAACTACAAGATAGAACGGACTGTTCTAAACTTGAGAAGAAAACTATAAATCACAGGGTAACCTCAAAGAAAAATGATAAACATTCACATCAAAATAAAAAGAGGACCAGCATAAATATTTAGCAAATAGCTAAAAGCACTTGACTGCTAACCAGAAGGCTGGTGGTTCAAACCCACCAGCCACTCCTCGGAAGGAAGGTTGGGCAATCCTACTTCCGTAGTGATACTGCCTCGGCAACCCAAGGAGGGTCGCTATGAGTCAGGGCCGACTTGACAACACATAACAACAACAACAAAACAGTAGCAATGAAGGAAGTGGTAACACGATTCATAAACAAAATGAGCTCAGCATAGAAAATTATATGGAACAAAGAAATGGACACCACGAAAAAGCATGTAACAAAAATGACAGCAACAAACTCGTATTTGCCAATAATTACATATCTGGCAAGGGAGTTATCTCTAAGAATTATAGAAAATGCCAATGCCTTAACAGCAAAGGGATTGACAATCCAGTTGAAAAATGGGCAGAAGACATGAATAGGCACTTTACCAATGGGAAATTCAGGTGGCCAGCAAACACATGAAGAGATGCTCACGATCATTGGCCGTCAGAGAGATGCAAATCAAAACAACAATGAGATATCATCTCACCCCCGCACTGATGGCAAGGTTCAATGAGACAGAAAATAACAAATGCTGGTGGGGATGTGGAGAGGTTGGGACTCTCATATACTGCTGCAGGGACTGTGAAGTGATACAACCAGTGTGGAAAGCAGTATGGCAATTCCTTAGAAAGCTGGAATTGGAGATACCATTTGACCTAGCAATCCCATTACTAGGTATATATCCTAGAGAGGTGAGAGCCAGGACAGGAACAGATATATGCATAGTTATGTTCATCACAGCACTATTTACAATAGCAAAAAGATGGAAACAACCTATGTGCCCATTAGCGGAAGAGTGGATGACCAAACTATGGTACATACACATAATGGAATGCTATGCAGCACTAAAGAATAATGTAGAGTCTGCAAAACACCACATAACATGGACGAACTTGAAAGACATTATGCTGAGTGCAATGTCAATCACAGAAAGACAAATATAGTATTAGTTTGCTGTTGTGGAGGGTCAAGGAAAGGTTCATATATGGAGGGAAACTTTCTTTGTTGGTTGACAGGGTTGGGAGGGGAGGAGAGGAAACGCTGGGGAAAAAAAATGCATTGACCCACGTAAAACACACACACACACATGTTGTTGTTGTTGTTATTAGGTGCTGTCAGATTGGTTCTGACTCATAGTAACCCTGTGTACAACAGAATGGAACATTGCTGAATCCTGCACCATCCTCACAATTGTTGTGCTTGAGTCCATCATTGCAGCCACTGCAACAGCCCTTGTTGAGGACCTTCCTCTTTTTTACTGATCCTCTACTTTACCAAGATTGATGTTCTTCTCCAGGGACTGGTCTTCCAGATGACATATCCAAATTACGTGAGATGAAGTCTCACCATTCTCACTTCTGTGGAACACTCTGACTGTACTACTATACTTCTTCTAAGACAGATTTGTTTGTTCTTCTGGAAGTTCATGGTATATTCAATATTCTTTGCCAACACAATGATTCAAAGGCATCAGTTGTTCTTTGATCTTCCTATTCATTGTCCAGCTTTTGTATGCCTATGAGGCAATTGAAAATACCGTGGCTTGGGTCACTTAGTCCTCAAAGTCTTTGTTATTTTTCAATTTAAAGAAGTCTCTTGCAGCAGATTTGCTCAGTGTAAAATGTTTGATTTCTTGACTGCTCCTTTTATGGACGTTGATTGTAGTTCCGAATAAAATGAAAGTTTTTTCTCTGTTTATCATGATGTTGCTTACTGGTCTAGTTGTGAGGATTTTTGTTTTCTTTATGTTGAGGTATAATCTATACTGAAGACTGTTCTTTGATCTTCATCAGTAAATGTGTCAAGTTCTCTTCATTTGCATTCAAGTTTGTGTCATCTGCATATTGCATTCTGTTAATTAGTCTTTCTCCAATCCTGATGTCATGTAATTCTTCATATAGTCCAGCTTCTTGGATTATTTGCTCAGCGTATAGATTGAATAGGTGTGGTGAAAGGATATAGTGTACGCTTTTTCTGATTTTAAACCATTCAATGTGGCTTTATGCTATTTAAATAACTGCCTCTTGGTCTATGTACAGGTTCTGCATGAGCACAATTAAATGTTCTGGAATTCCCATTTTTCACAATGTTACTCATAATTTGTTAGGGTCCACGAAGTTTGAAAATACAAAGCCCATAATGAATTATATATTCTTATTTTATGTTATTATTTTTTGTCTTCCATATTCAAAACAAATTGGAGGGATTTTCTTTTTCATAAATTTATTTCTTAAGAATTAACATTAATCTTTTTTTGTGTATAAATTATCAGTATCTTGGTATTGCTTATGTTTTTGTGGGTGACTTTCTCTTAAAACAAACCCCTATCTTAAAAAGTATTTTGATTTCCCAATGAAGTTTCTGACTGACAATTTTGACTTATTTTCCCTCAAATGCAATAGTTTGTATTTTAACAAGTATAAAGGTTCAGATGGAGTAGATACTTTTTATAAAATAAAGGGAAAATAGTGCCTTTTCTGTGTAAGTCCATGTTTAACTTATTACTCTTACATTAGGTAAAAGATGAAACTTCCAAATTTGAGTAAACTTTATCAATATTTTCCACAGGGAAGAGACTTCCACCTTAAAATATTGTTGCCTGGAGATTTGCAAGTGAAGAATGCCAGGTGATGTGGTTATATATATTTACCTTAATGGGGCCAGTAGTGAATTTAGCATGGCTGATCCTGTGACCATAATTTTGCTTAAAATGTTTTTCAGTCATTCAACCAGAAACATTTCTGATTTTTCCAAATCAGTGTGTCATATATAAATGATTTTCCTTTGCACAGAAATACTTTTCAAAGGTAACACATTAATTCTGTAATTTTCTATTTGATTGTTTAAATCAGAAAACAGCTTATATGTGTAGTTCACCAACAGATACTGAACAGGAGGACAAAGGGAGAATACCAAAAGATTTGAAAACTGTTTCCAATTTGGACTGATGTTTTTTATGTGTATATTCAGTCTATGTAAGGATGCACAGTATCACTTCAGTCCTGGTGTAAATTCGGTACAGACTACTAGTCAGAGAATGCCAAGAGATGAACCTGGGAGTTTAGGTAGTGCCCAACATCTCAATTCTATTTCTAAATATTTCTGGGGTAGAGTGGAGGGAAAGGAATCCAGAGATAATTGAAATAGAATTGACAGGGTTTTGTTACTGATTAGAAATGGAAAACAAACAAAAAACCAAACTCACTGGCAGTGAGTTGATCCAACTCATAGTGACTCCCATTGGGTTTCCAAGGTTGTAAATCTTTATGGTAGTAGATCGGCCTATCTTCCTTCTGCAGAGTGCCTGGTAGGTTTGAATTACTGACCTTCCAGTTAGTAGCCAAAGGTAAGGGGAAAAGAGGAGTGGAGGATACTGTCCAAATTTCTGGCTGAGATCACTAAGCTAGGGAAGAAGTGATTTTTATGGATCAAATTGTGTCTTCCCAAAATATATGTTGAAATCCTAATTCTTGTACCTGTGGATGTGATCTTGTTTGGAAATAAGATTTTTTTTTATGTTAATGAGGTTGAGAATAAGTGAAGGCTAAATACAGTCCCAGGAGCTCTGGTGGCTCAGTGGTTAAAGTGGCTGTTAACCAAAAGGTCAGACATATTGGATGTGATATTTCAAGGTATTTAGTAGGTGTGGTGTTAGTGGTATGTTTGTCTGTTGATCTGCAAATGAATTGTGAGACTTAAGGGTAGAGATATATATAGAAGTTCATAGTACGTATGGAATCAGGGACCATGAAAGTGGCTAGACCTACCAGTGTCTATATGTATGGGGTGAAAGACATTATTATTAGACATTTTTATTCTCTAAACAGAATTAAGAGAGTAAGGAGGGAATTGGTCACTTGTCTGTTAGTTTGCTAGCCTGTGGTGGCTTTGGTGCTACTATGACACTGGAAGCTATGCCATTGGTATTTCAGACACCAGCAGGGTCACCCATGTGGACAGGTTTCAATGGAGTTTTCAGACTAAGGCAGACTTGGAAGAAAGGCCTGATGATCTAATTGCAAAAATTAGCCAATGAAAACTTTATGGATTATAGAAGAACACTGTCTGACTTGCTTGCTTTGGACATGTCACCAGAAGGAAACAATCAATGGAGACATCATGTTTGGTGAAGTAGAAGGCCAGCAAGGGTGAGGGAGACATTCACTGAGATGGATTGGCACCATAGCTGCAACAATGGACTGACTGGAGAATGCCAGCAATCACTATGATGTGGTGGGAGCAGGCTACATTTTGTTTTATTGTTCTTAGGTTGCTATGAGTTTGTGTTGACTCCAAAGCAGCTATATATCTATCTGTCTAAAGAGGGAATAAGTAACACTGCTGACTGTTGCAGAGGGATCATGTTAGATCTTGTTATGAATAGTTTTGGTGCAGTGACAGAAGCCAGGTTGTGTTAGGTTTTAAAATGGGTGAGTGGGTAGTTAGGAAATAGAAATAGTATACGTTCCTTTCAAGGGAAGGAATGCCCAGAGAAGGACAAGAGGTCAAGAAAGAGTTATAATGTTATATTTTTTAAATGAGAGGTAAGATACTTTAACAAGTCAGTTTGTTGAGGGAAAAATTAGCAAAACTGGAGAGGTTGAGGATACCACAATAAAGGTATAGTCAATGAATCAGAGTAACAGAGTTGGTGGCAAAGGATAGAAAGGACATATGGAGAAGGGGCTACCCATGGGGAATGCTCTTCTACTAAGACAGGAGCTAGGTACGGGCATGAGGATAGCACACCAAAAATGGAGGGAGCAATGATGGCTTGAAAAGGCCATGTTGGGAACACTCAGAGAGGGTCCTAACACAAATGGTTAAGTGCTTGACTATTAGCTGGAAGACTGACAGTTTGAATCCACTCAGAGTCACCTTGGAAGATAGGCCTAGTGATCTGCTTCTGAAAGGTCACAGCCTTGAGAACTCCATGGAGCAAGTGGAACTGCTCTACGTGGGGTCACTATGAGTCAGAATCTATTGGACAACAATCAGCAGTAACAGCAGAAGAATTAGTCACTTTAGCAATACTGAGTGCACAGAAGAGGTGAATGAGTAGATATACAAAATTAACTTATCACTACCAGCATCATTAAAAGTAAGTATCTTTTTGGTTAAATTAGTCTGTAATTTGAAGGTTATTTTGTTACATATGCTTTTTCATATACAAATTCTGTATATTATGACTAAAACTGTTGGCTATATTTAACCTCCTTTGGAAGAGAATCTAGTTCAATAGAAAATATATTTAATACTCTGGGTATGTTAAAGTTAAAAAAAGATGTACTTTTTGCATGTCAATTACTGATTGCAGTTATTTATATTTCAAAATAAAATTAGTACTGACAGTTTGAAGACAAGACTTTCAACAAGTATCAGTAGTAAAAATTTTATTAACTTGTCAGAATTATGTTTATGTCATTCTTTTGTATGTATGTGCATGTTTGTGTTAGCATACAAATTAAGTTTTTTTCCTTTTAATTCTGAGCAATGAACACTTTTGTCCCATTAAAATTTTAGATTACTATGTAGTTGGCAGCTGAGAGCAATATTAAATGGATACCATGAAGTAATACAACAGGTAAGACTTTAAAAGATTTTTGTTGTAAATATGGATTAAAAAAATACTGAATTTATTCGATTTGGTTTGCAGGATGTTGTTATAAACTACTTTAATGGTTGCTGAATTTCATAGTATCTATACATTATATAGGAGCTCTGGTGGTGTAGTGTCTAAGGCATTTCACTGCTAACCAGAAGGCTGGCGGTTCAAACCAACCAGCCACTCCTTGGGAGGAAGATTGGGCAGTCTACTTCTGTAGAGATACCGCCTTGGAAGCCCAAGGAGGGGTCACTGTGAGTCAGAAACAACTCAATGGCAGTGAGAATACATTACATAAAATATTTTCTACCTCAGAATTCTCAAGAAATCTCCAGGAAAACATTTATGTTGAAACTGATTTTCATTCTTGGTACTTTATGTTCTTCACATCCTTTCACCCTTATCCACATCTATCACTTCTTGCATAATTTATCTGCTGAGACTAAAAAGTGGTGGTAAGAAATATCCTGGCCTCATTTAGGAGTTGTAGGATATCTTGGCAGAACTGGCCCTGTAGATCCAGATTAGCAATAGTAAAAGAAGTTGTGAAAATGACTTAGGATCATGCACACTTGTATAATGAGAGTAGTTGTAAGGGTAGGATAAGTGAGGTATATACAGAATTAATTAATTCTTAACATTTGGTTCTTGTACCTGAAAATTGCCTTTAAAGATTAGAGTATCTTAAAAAAAATCACTATTACTGAAACAATGGAAAATAATGAAATGCCTCTTATACAAAATAAATGTTATTAGAACGGCATTTCCTTTGATGCTTTAGTGATTTTGGTGTTTTTCCTGATTTCTTGTTTTTCCTCTTAAGAGTCAGGTTATTGTCTGTGATAACTGACAATGACAGTCACTCTCACATAAAGCATTACCGAACCAAAAAGAAATACAAGAGATTAAACTATTTGATTTGTAGAATGTATGCTGTCATCACTGGCAGTATAATTACAGCAGTTTTGTAAGGGGATGCTTAAATTATTTCTCTCTGTCTTCTCCCCTTGCCCCCTGTGACTGAGTATATTATTGCATACTAAAGTTTAAGAAATGAATGAAACGTGTTAAAAGGGCTAAATATAATAGTAAGAACTCTAATTATGTTTCTTTCCATCAATATGCCAAGAGAGTTCTTAGAGAAAGTCCATTTACCTATGTATTTTTCCCTATTCCCAATTGGTCAAGAATTAGTTTGAGTCTTTTTTTTTTTTAAAAAAAGTTTCTTCATGCATGTGTACTATTTAGTGACATTGATTACATTCTTCAAGTTGTACAGTCATTCTCACCTTCCTTTTCTAAGTTGCTCCTCCACCATTAAGATAAATTCAATGCTCCCTAAGGTTTCTATCTAATCTTTCAATCCTTCTTTCAGGTTGTTGTTGCAAATTGATATCATATAGATAATTCTTAAACAAGTATAATGCTCATGCTCAAGGCACACTAGGTAATCTAAACTATTGTTTAGTCTTAAGAAGATTTCATGGGACTTTTTTTTTTTTTGAAAGTTTTTATTGTGATTTGACTGAAAGTTTACAGAGTAAATTCACTTTCCATACAGCAGCTCACATATACTTTGTCTCATGACATTGACTGCAATTTCCCACAATGCAACAACTCCTCTCCCACTTCCTCCCCATAGTTACCTCTTCCCTGTGTCCTTCCCTCCCATATACTCCTGCCCCCGAGCTGTCTCCCTGTGCACACACAGCCCTTCTATTCTTCATGGGACATTTTTGATGTAAAGCTTAAAGATTATCTCAAGGGGATAGTTTCAGGGATTCATATAGCCTCCATGGTTCCGGGAAGTCTGGAATCTATGAAAATTTGAAATTCTGTTCTACATTTTTCCGCTTTGGATCAGGATTCTTCTATAGAATCTTTGATAAAAATGTTTGTAATAGTAGCCGGTCACCATCCAGTTCTGGTCTTATGGCAAACAGGAGGTTATTCATGTATGCAATTACCAACACATTCCATATCTTCCTCCCAATATTAAGTCTCCTTCTTCCTCTGTTGCTCCAGACATATAGGCACCAATTCTTGTGCCTTGGATGGCTGCTTGCAAGCTTTCAAGAGCCCAGGCACTACACAGTGAAGTAGGAGGTAGAACAGAAACATTAAACATATTATTAGGGCCAATTAACTGGGCTGCCCCATGAAACCATGACCTTAAAATTCCAAATCAAGAAACTAAATCCCATGAGATTTTTCCTTGTGCATAAGCAGCCAGCAGCCTCAGCAGCTACACTTTTTTTTTTTGTCATTGAAAATATATCTGTCACATAACTTTTGCCAGTTCAACTTTTTACAGGTATACAACTTACTGACTGCAGTTATAATAATTGACTGTGAAGCTCTACACTTAATCGATGCAATATTTCCAACACCGTTGATACCCCCTTTCCCCTTCTTGCAGTACCTCTTTGATGGCATAGTGCCTAAGGCATTTAGCTGCTAACCAGAGGTCTGGTGGTTCAAACCCACCAGCCACTCTGTGGAAGGAAGACTGGGCAATCTACTTCTGTAAAGATTTGCTTCCTTGAGAACCCAAAGGGGGTTGCTATGAGTCAGAGTCAACCCAGTGACAGTGAGTTTGATTTTTTTTTTTTTTTGGCTTGCTGTCCCTTGTAACCAGTAATAAATATTGTTCTGTATAAATTTGCCTTTTCTTAACTTTTTATATAAATGTGGTCATACAATATTTGTCCTTTGTGAGTGACTTACTTTACTCAGTATTAATGTTTTCCAGCTTCATCCATATTTTAGAATATATAAAGACTTCATTTCTCCTACTGGCTGAGTAGTCTTCCATTGTATATACCACATTTTGTTTATCCATTCATCCATTCATAGGCATTTAGGTAGCTTGTACTTTTTTGCTACTGTGAATAGTGCTGCAGTGAACATTGGTGTACAAGTTTCTATTTGGGTCTCAGCTTTCAAGTCTTTTGGGTATGTACCTAGAAGTAGAATTGCTGGGTCATATGGTGGTTTTCCATCACTCATCTGTCTGTCATACTGTGGTGGCTTGTGTGTTGCTGTTAGGCTAGAAACTTTGTCACAGGTATTGGAAGTATTATAATGACAGAATAACCTTTGAGATGTTTTAACAAATGGAGCAGCACTGGAAGCACTCACTTGTTTATAACAAGAAAGTTGGAAGACCTGGCCAGCTGACTGGAAGAGATCCATATGTATGCCCTTCTAAAGAAATGTGATCTGACAGAATGTAGAAATTATCAAACTATATCATTAATACCACACGCAAGTAAAATTTTGCTGAAGATAATTCAAAAATGGTTGTAGTAGTATATTAACAGGAACTGCCAGAAATTCAAGCTGGATTCCAAAGAGGATGTCGAATGAGGGATATCATTGCTGATGTCTGCTGGCTTTTGGCTGAAAGCAAAGAATACCAGAAGGATGTTGACCAGTGTTTTATTGACTATGCAAAGGTATTCAACTGTGTGGATCATAGCAAATGATGGATAACATTGCAAAGAATGGGAATTGCAGAACACTTAATTATACTCATGAGGTACTTGTAGATAGGCCAAGAAGCAGTCTTTTGAACAGAACAAGGGGATCCTGCATGGTTTATAATCAGGAAAGGTGTGCATTAGGGCTGAATCCTTTTACCATTCTCATTAAGTCTGTATGCTGACCAAATAATGTGAGAGGCTGGACTATATGAAGAAGAATGCAGCATCAGGAATGGAGGAAGACTCATTAACCTGTGATATGCAGATGATACAACCTTGCTTGCTGAAAGTGAAGATGACTTGAAGTACTTACTGATGAAGATCAAAGACTACAGTCTTCAGTATGTATTACACTTCAACATAAAGAAAACAAAATCCTCAGAAGTGGGCCAATAAGCAACATTGCCATAAATGGAGAAAAGATTGAAATTGTCAAACTTTTCATTTTTCTTGGATCCACAGTCAACACGCATGGAAGCAGCAGTCAAGAAATTAGAGGTCATATTGCACTGGGCAAATATGCTGCAAAAGACCTCTATGAAGTGTTGAAAAACAAAGATAACACTCTGAAGACTAAGGTGTGGCTGTCCTATGCCACAGTATTTTGTGTTGTCTCATATGCATGTAAAAGCTGGAAATGAATAAGACTGAAGAAGAATTGATGCATTTGTATTGTGGTGTTGGTGAAGAATACTGAAAATAAGCATGGACTACCAGAAGAATGTACAAATCTGTCCCAGAAGAAGTGCAGCCTGAATGCTCCTTAGAGGTGAGAATGGCCAGACTTCATCTTACCTATTTTGGTTATGTTGCCAGAAGGGACTATTCCCTGGAGAAGGATATCATGCTCGGTAAAGTAGAGGGTCAGCAGAAAAGGGGAAGACAGTGAGATGGATTGACACAACTGCTGCAACAGTGGGCTCAAGCATAGCAAGGATTGTAAGGATGGGGCAGGACTGGGCAATGACGCCCCCCGTTCCACATCCTCTTCTGAAGTCAGCTTGCATTTCTGGAAATTCCCTGCCAATATACTGCTGCAACCATTTTTAAATTATCTTCAGCAAGATTTTACTTGCATGTGATATTAATGATATTGTTCAATAATTTCCACATTTTGTTGGATCACCTTTCTTTGGAATGGGTACAAATATGGATCTCTTCCAGTCAGTTGGCCAGGTAGCTGTCTTCCAAATTTCTTGGCATAGACAGTAAGTTCCTCCAGAGCAGCATCCATTTGTTGAAACATCTCAATAGGTATTCTGTTAATTCCTGGAGCCTTGTTTTTTGCCACTTTATTCAGTGCAGCTTTGACTTCTTCCATCAGTACCATTGGTGCTTGATCATATGTCACTTCCTGAAATAGCTGAATATCAATCAATTCTTTTTTGTACACTGACTCTGTGTATTCCTTCTGTATTATTTGGATGCTTCCTACATCATTCAATATTTTGCCCATAGAATCCTTCAATACTGCAAGTTGAGGCTTGAATTTTT